TGATCAGTGGCGGAGCAGGCGCGCTCACGTCAGAGCAGGATTTGGCCCTTAGGAAATCATTAAGCTGCAAACTCTCGACACGGCAGGCCGGGGCAGCGCAGGTCTTGTGTTTCACGTCAAAGGCTGTGCAGAGACGCCTTCGTTAGAGGGTGGATAATTGACGCGGTGGGCTGTAACTGCTCACCCCGCGCAGTCGCGGTGCAGGGGTGGAGGTGCAGCCCAGCCCTGGCGAGGCTCCCACGGAGCAGCTCCCGGCCTCGGGCCATCGCTGGAGGGGCTGCTCCGGGGGCCGAGGTGGCACAGCGGGGTCGTGGGGCAGCGCTGGGGCGGGTGGTGGGTCCCAGAGGGACGGGTGGATGCCCAGTCCCACGGCTCGTCGCCGGCAAAGGACCCTGTTCCTGGGCACCCGCCAGTCCCGGCGTCTGTCCCGGTGCCTCTGCCCAGCTCTGCCTGATGGCGCTGGGCTCGCAAATCACTTCGAGGATGCTTTCAAAATCAGTCCTTTCAGAGTCACACCAGAATGCCACCAAGAGCTGACAACCTCTTCAGATGACCTTTTTTTTGGACTGTTCTGCTTAGCATATGGCTGAGATGGAAAACCTCTCCCTGCTCCTGGCAGTGCGTTTGAAGGGAGACGTGCAGCCCCTGGAGTGTGGAACACGAGGATGCAGCAGAATTTTTATTTAAAATAAGAGATGGGAGCTGCGTGGTGTGTAAGCCTTGGGTGGTCACAGCACAGAGTCAAAGATAAGGCTAGGAAAAGGCGATCCCAGTTACCTTTGGGTATGGGCCAATGTGACCAATGTTCTCATGTTGTGCTTTTTAAAAATCGCTAAATACTACTAGTGTCTTTGCAGGGTTACTTTTGTGTTCTTCCCTGTATGATCCCCTTCATTTCAGCTGAGGCAATTCTTAGCTGTAGGAAGATGATTAAAAATGGCATATTGTCTGCACCTGGAATTTCTGACACAACCTCAGCACAGGCGGTGTTGGCAATTGTGTTTCTGACAGTAACAAGACACTCTGTAACTCAGGATTCTAAGACTTTCTGTTCTCTTGCCCTTGCACTTAATGAAAACAGAGTTTGTTTTAGAAAGAAAAAAACGTTTCTGAGTTAATTTCAGCTCGGTTCAAACCAGGGGATACAGAGGCAGGAACCAAAGCTCACATTTATGAGAAAATCTGAGAAGGGGAAAGGATAAGGTGCGTTAGGAAAAAGAAAAATCCTTCTCATTTTCCAAGAAGGTATTATGAACAGTAGAGAGAAAAAAAAAAAAATTACTTGACAAGGTTCTTGTAAAGAGGAAGAATAGCTTAAAATGCTGGTTAAATTCTCATTGATCTTTCACTCAGCTTCCCATATATGTAGGTTTGACTATTTGATATTTCCATTCACTGTCATAGGTAATAACTGAGTGGAAACAATCATTTCTAAATAACTGCCTATGGTTCTTCTATTGTAGTGATTAGTGCTGAATAATTATTAGCTCTGCTGAATATTGCATGGATAGATCTGATGCGAGGAACTAGAAGCTGTCAGCCGCTGGCATCTGCGCTGTGGAGGGATGCTCAGCCGGTGAGCAGCCCCTGCCCAGCGCCTATAGAAGGTGCCTATAGATGGTGCTCTTCCCCTCGCACAGCTCCAGCGCCTGCTCTCAGCCAGCCCTACCTGGGGACCAGAGGCCGGGACTGCGCTTTCCTGAACTCAGCAGCTTGTCCTAAATGGACACAGGGAAAAAAAAAAAAAAAAAAAAAAAAAAAAATAAAAAGAGAGAGAGAGACATTCTCCTGCTTTAGAAATCAAGGGAGAGCAGAATCAGTTTTATCACCCTGGGAATGGTAAATGCAGAGCAAATACTGATGTCGGGTCCTGCTGCATGTGTAGGCACCGAGAGAAGCGCCAGAGGCAATGTATAGAGCCGCGTTATCCAGGACTTTTAGTGAGTGTAAAGAACCGGGTGCTGGAAGGATTGAAAGGCTCGTCGCTTCACACGGCTCAGACAGATTCATGACCCCTGCGTTCTGAAGCAAGGGAGTTTATCAAAGATGAGGACAGAGAGAAATTGTGAATACACAGGCTAGAAACAGAGACCGATGTCTCTCTGATGCCTTGCTTCACCAGCTGCTTAAAGGCTGCTTTGTCATCTGCGGTCCAGATCCTGCCCCGCAGAAAAGGCGCGCTGGGCGTAACTGCCTATGGCAGAGGAAACGGGGATGAGAAGTTGCGTGCCGGGAGTTTGAAGATGGCTTTATGGCCGATCCTCCCAGCGGTTGTTGAGCTCCTGGGTTGGTTCCCGGCACAGCTCAGAGCGGGCTGAGGGGCTCTGCCCCTGCGCCGGCACTGCCGAGCGGGCGCGTGTGTCGGTGAGCCGGCTGCCGGGGCCGCTGGCACCCAGGTGGGGCCCACGCTGCCGTACCCCGGGGTGGTCCGAGGGCCCCTCCTGCCCCCCCACGCCACCGCCGGGCCCCCCCGATACATACAGAGATGGGGAGCCTCAGGCGTGGGCTAGTATTTGCACTCCGGGCTGTAAATGTGTGTAAATATGCATGTGTGCAGAGGTTGTGTGGAGTTTTGTGGTACGCTTACGTCCATGTGCATCCCTATACACTTATCACCATATGTATTTGGCTGAATTAGAGGCAGATCCTTTCTTCTGTTACGGCTCCAGCCTTTGATTCCAAGACTTAACGTCTATCACCCGTTTTGGGAAAAGGTGAATGCAAATACCCACAGAAGGATTCTTCCAGCAGTTGTTTCAGCACAGAGCTTGCTAATATTTCAAGCACACGACCAACTCGTTAGCCCAGCAGCACATCCATCACCTGAGCAAACCCAGGTGAATCTCCTGTTTTGTTTCACTCCCCATACGTTCGGACAGCCCTTTGCTCACGTGCCCTGTGCATGAGCTATCTGCAAATCTCGGGGCTGCTCCCCAGCTGAGCCATCCTGTAATTAGCTTGAGAAGGGCTCTCCATACAGGAACGTAATTGACCATCAATAAATAATAAACACAAGACAGGATGGAGACAGTCCTGCAAAGAGGAGAGAGATGGTTGTTGAGACACTCTGACCTGCCTTGTATGGCTTTCTGCAAAAGGAGAATTTGCATTAGTGGGATGCACATTTAACCAAGGGTGGTGTTTGTAATAGGATTTAGTGCCGTTCGCTGTGAATGCATGACACAGTAAATGTACTGGGGACAGAAGAGCAAAAGAGAAAAGCTTGCTAAGGAACCAGTGCTGCCATCCACTGAGTGTCTTCTGTTTCCTCTCCTGAGCTAAACAGCTGCAACCTCTGTATCCTTCCAGGACACCAAAACTCCCGACTTTGGGGCTCCCGGTGAAGTCGAGGGGACCCTTTCCGTGGGGGTGGGACTGGTGCTTGACTGTCACGTGTGGGGAGGTATGCCTGTGCTCCACTGATGGCTGTAAAGACACTATTGGGAAGGAAAGCCTTTCCTGGAGGATGGTAAGCGTGGTGAGGATGGGGAGAAACCCAGGCCAGCTAAACTCTTGTTTTCTTGCTGGAGATGCGGCAGAGCAGGCGCTGGTTACAGCCCTCCCAGGAGCGGGGAAAAGCACCAGCTCCGGAGCTGCACGATGGGGTGCAGAGGTGTTTGCTGCCAGACCCCTGCGCGAGAGGGTCCTGAAGCCTGTACACGGGGCAAACAGCAAAACTTAACCACGATTGTGTCTTTTCTCCCCCCCCAAACTGCTCTTGCAGGGTCCTGCTGACGTGCACCCAGCGCTGCGTCAGGCCCGTCCCTCCGTGAGCTGAGCCGGGGCAGATGCAGAGAGGCTGATCCTGTAGCCGTGCGAACTGCAAACGGCAGCGGAGGTGAGAGGGGCTGGAGGGGAGCTGCCCCGGGCTCCTTGGGGTGCTTTAGTCACTTGGGTTTATTGTAGAGAGACCCAGTGCCACGGCTATAATTTTCTCTCGCAAATATTCCAATGTGCGGTAAATGAATTGTTAAAAAATTCTTGATGACAAGAAATGGAAAACAGCAATCCATCATGTTATGGATTCCCTGCGCCAGTTGGACTCCTTCAAATTGCTCCCATGCCGCTTTGCTGGGGCAGGCTCATCTGGACCAGGCTTAGCTGGACCACGGTGCTTCTGGGTTTTGGAGCAGCGTGGCCGCGCTGCCCTGCCGTGGAACTGGGGCTGGCTTTGCCCCAGGCGTTCCCAAACCCTCGTAGGCTGATGTAGACAACCCGTGAGGCCCAGGGGTGGCTGAAGGTGCTCCTCACTTTGGGGACCTTAAGGCTTCCAGGTATTTTTCAAACCCTTGTGCGAGGCCAGGAGATGGCTGCACGGTGAGCCCCGCACTCCCGAGGAGGGATCGACCCCCTGGTTCCCAGCGGCCGGTGGTCGCAGGGCTCCCTGTCCCAGCTTCGGCAGGCCCGGGGGCGCGAAGGTCGGTGGCTTCAGGGGCTCCGTGGCACAGGCGCAGCTTTTGCTGTGGGAGCAAAAGCTTGCTGCAACAGCAGGAGCTGCTGGAGGCAGCCTTGGAGGAAAACTGAGTTGTCAGCTCCGTTTTGTGGATGGGGAAACTGAGGAACGGAGAGCTCGGGTGCCACTCGCCCCCCAGAACTGGGGCCAAGGGGCGCACAGGGGGTCTGAGCTGGGAACAGAAACCAGCAGCCTCCATCCCCCTCCTTCCAGAGGTGATGTGGGGGGCTATAGCCCCCCAAATGAGGGACGGCTGAGGTAGCCTTTATCTCCATCGCCGCTTGACCATCCCTTGTAGGGGGGCTCAGCCGTTCGCCGTGGGGCAGCCCCACGTTTCCCTCGGGGGCTTTGTTTCGGCTCGGCGCGGGGGGGGGGGGGACACGACACAGACGCGTTTCCCCGCCCCGCTCGTTCCGCGGGGGGGGCTGAGCCCCGCTCCCCGGCTGCGGAAGGGTTAAGCGCGGGGAGCGGGGGCGGCGCGGGGGCGGGGAGCGGAGCGGGGAGCGCGCCCGGAGCCGGGGCTCGGCGGGGAGCGCGCCCGGGCTGGGCGGCGGGCGGGTACCGGGGAGCCGGGGCTGCGGAGGCATGAGAGCCCGGCGGAGCTGAGCTGAGCCGGGCCGAGCCGAGCCGGGCCGGGGGAGGCTGCGGGAAAGGCGGAGGAGCAGCGGCGGGAACCCGGCCCTGCATTTCCATGGTGTCGGGAGCCGTGTGGATTACCCCGCCGTGAGCCGGGCGGCACCGGAGCTGCGGGGGCTGGTGAGTGGCCGGGGCTGGTGCTGCCCCCCCGCCCCGGGGTAGCCCCGGCGGTGGGGGCGGCCGGGGAAGGTGCAGGGAGGAGGTTTGGGTTCGTGTGTGTGTGTGTTCCCCCTCCCCGTGCTGCCGGTGCCCCTTCCCCGGGGGGGGGGCTCGGGGTGCTGCCCGCGGGGGTGCGCGGAGGGACGTGAGGAACATCCCCCCCCCCCAACCCCTGTGCTTCCCCATCTCCCACCCGGTCCGTTTGACGTGCACAGCCGCGTTATACATAGATGTATTTTTCTCGTTAATTCTGTTGCCGTTTGCTGCCGCTCAGTCACGGTCTGGAGCAGCCAATGCACCAGAATAAACTCATTTCCACAAAAAGTTGATGTTGGCAAGGAGGGGCGTTTTCAAAACCACCCCTGAATTTTGAAAAAAAAAAAAAAAAAAAATCCCCGTTAAAACTTTCCTAAATCCTTGCAAGACCCGTTTTGAAAGGCAATGAAGGGAGAGAAGGCAAATGCACTTGTGCTCCCTGCAGGGAAATCCGAACTTCTGGGTGATGGGCCGGGGCTCCTCCAGCCCCGTTTGCGTGCTGTGGGTTGATCGCGGCAGAGGCTGCTCTCAGATGCCACGCTGTCCCCTCCTGTCACTGTCCTGGCTCGCCGTGACCTCCGTTTAACCTGGCACGGTCAGGCATTACAGGCTTTGTCTCCATTCCGGCTATGGCCAATACTTTCACGTTCCTAGAGGTGAAGTGAATGATGTTCAATTAATCTGTGTTCTAAGGGGTATCAGAAAGTCAATAGGTTAATATTAAGTGAGGTGAATAGTAAGTGGTGGAAGAAAAAAAAACTGTACGTCTGTGACCTACGGTTCAAGATGCTGGCTCAGAGGTGAGAGAATGTGAAGTTAGCAGAGTACCATGGTGTAAAAACCTACTGCTGACAGGGTTTCCCTCTTATGTGCTGAGCACTTGATGCTTCACTGGTGGCTTGAATGTGTTTAATAGATCTCAGCTGACTTGGGAAAATGGTCTCGTCTCCCCTTCTCTGGATGGCTTCATTGATACGGTGGCTAAAAGGTAAATCAAATGACCTACTTTACAGCTGAAAGACAGATGCCTCAGAAGAAATCTGTGCCATCTTCAGAACAGATGTTTAGCTTTTTCCCTTTAACACAGAGGTGTTAGATCCTTTAAAATGTGTTTTGTTTTTTTTTTTTTTTTTTGTCTTTATTGCTGTCCTTTTGCCATTTGTTGTCACTTTGAGGGCCCTCAAAGCTTAAATGTGATATTTTGGGGTGGTGCAGGGAGCTACATAAAACAGCTTTGATTTAAGAAACTTGGTGTAAGCACTGAGTAATGTGAACGTACAACTGCCGTGAAATGGCTTATCTAGCAAACCAGTCATCTTTTTCAACTCTTCTAACCATCTCCGTAGTGCTTGTTGCAAGAAGATAAAGTAACCCAATTTACTCTTCATTGTCTTTTATAGTGTTGTTTGATGTAATTAATAGTGGAGTTCCCCCCCGGCTTATAACAAGTTTGTGTGGTGGAAACAGGTAACAGATGCTGCATAAGATCTGCACACAATCCACCAATATGATAGAAACAGCTTTTCCCGGTGCTCTTAACCATTAACGGTCTTGTTCTTGGGGTTAACCCTGAGCTTCCCCCGCCTCTCAGCAGAAGGGAACTTCAGCTGGATGCAAAAGAGAAAATGCAGATCCGGGCTGGCTGTGGGAGCCTGGAGAAGAGGGGACTGCTACTGCCCTGTGCTCTTTAACTCTCTTCAGCAAATTGCATTAGTATGTGACAAATTGGCTTGCAAAGCAGCTAAATGGGAATGACATTTGGAGCAGTTTGCTGTGCAGACCCTGTGGTGTCTGAGGGAAACATGTGATTTGCAGTACCTTCCGGAGCTCTCCAATTTAACTACCACTACAAGGCTTTCCAGAACTTACTTCGGGAACTCCTGTTGCAGCTGAATGGGGGAGTCTAGAGCACATCTGGGAAGAAGCGCCCAGCAGCTGGGGCAGATGTGGGTGCAGACTGTCTCCTGCCATGGGCAGCTTCTGTGAAGAATTGGGCTAGGGAAGACGGGAAAAGCAGAAACAGAGAAATGGCACGGGGCATGTGGCAAGAGGGCTTGAGGAGGAAAGCTGTGCTTGCTGTTTGGTGTGGGTGTGATGCTTTCCCGTGGCAGCTGGGCTGCGTCTCAGAAGTACCTTTGTTTCAGCTGAGGTTGTTTCAGTGACTCGGAGGAGCGGACTGCAACAGGAAAGCGTACACCTGCCCCTCTCCTCCCGCTTCTCTGAGCATCTACCCGTCTGCTTGAACATGGCAGTGATCAAGCCGTTTTAATTGGCCCCTCTGCAGCTTGAACAATAAATATGTGATGGGGGAGAGTGCCCCCCTCCTTCCGCGGGGCGTTGAGGCTGTCATTTCTGACGGGGAAGCGTGTGCTCTCTGCTCGCCGCGTCCCTGCACGCTCGGGCGCCGCGCTCGCTCCCGCCCCAGCCCCTCTCTTACAGCGTGTGAAAACTGCGCTCCCCCATCTGTGTTTGGCAGCCTTAAAAAGAAAGGAGAGAGAAAAAAAAAAAAAAATGAACCTGAGCGTGCAGTGCTCCTGAGACAGGCCCCTTCACATTTCTAAACACTCTTGATTATTCAGCTAATCTTTATTTCATGGGCCTGTTACAAGAAACACAAACGGGGGAGAAAGTAGAAGGCGGTGACACATTTAAAATACACAAGAAAAGTGCTGGCAGGAATATAATCGTTCTTATTCCAGCAATATGAAATATTTATAGGCCTAAGTTGTGGCAAGATTCTCTGCCCCCCCCTCCCATCCCCCACCTAACTCTGAAATGTTTTTCCCAGTGCAATAGTAACTGGGGGGTGCTGGTTGTGCTGCCAGCGACGCCCGGTCCCCCCCGGCTGCCCGGCCGTGGTGTCCGTCTGTCCGTCCCGGCGGGAGGAGCGCAGCATGCCGGCCACGCTGCCCAGCTCGTACAGGGAGCCCAGCATTGTGTTACAGTCTGGTAACTCGAAATAATTCCGAAGCGTCCCCTCGGCCAGCCCGTGAAAAGCCCCCTTTGAGGTGCCCGTGTTTTGTAGGAACCCGCTGCTCCCCCAGGGCATTCTGCTATTAATTCATTAGATCTGAGGGTTTTTTCCTCTCTTCCCCCCCTCTTTTCTCTTTCCCCTCCAACCCCCCCTCTCCCTGGCAATTCAAACAGTGATGAATGGACAAAAATCCCTCAAGGGAAACATTTTTTCACTTAGTTACAAAGATTTCATGGCTAATTAGAGTAAATGTGGTTTTTAGAGTGTTAATCTCTTAACCAGCTTGGCTTGGAGGCCACCACAACAGCAAAGGGGAGGGCAAGGGGGGAACCCAGGCGGGAAAGGTGCTACCAAGTTCTTCCTGGGGCTGAGCCACAAACGCTGCTGGCTGGATCTGATGAGTTTTCATCACCAGGAGCATCCTGTGAGCTCTGCTAATTGGGTGCCCCCCCTTCCCTCCCGGGGCACAGTGCGAGGGCACGGCTCGGCTGGGCGAGACTTGAAGGCGTTTTGGTCCGAGGAGGCCACGAGCTCTTTGTCTGCAGAAGTGGCGCAGAGGGAGCCTCTGGGATGAAAAGCAAAGCGGGAACAAAAGCAGAATTGAGGGCAGCGTGCTGTCCTTGGGTGGCAGAGGCGGCCGCCCGGGGCTTGTGTTCAGATTCTTTCTCTGCACTGAAAATCTATGTATTTACTGGGTGATTAGTGCCAGTGAGGGAGGTGGGCTGTGAGTGTGTCTGGCGGGTGCCTCGGGCCGGGTCCCCACGTGCCGCAGTGCCGGCCACCTCAGGGTGGCCACGACGCCTCCAGCCCGCTTTCTGCAGCGAGCACCCAGGCTTGCTGGTGAAGCACATGGTCCAGGCGGCACGTTATTGTCAAAGGTCGATGTTTTGCTGATGGAAGTCATCCCCTCTTCGCTGCCGCGGAGGGGATTTATCCTTGATGTCTGCCGTTGCCTTCCGCCAGTCCCTCCCGCCTGCGCCGCCTCCCCAGCACCTGCCTTTCCAGCCTGGTTTTGACTTCACCCCAAAGGGCTCTGGCAAAACGGGGTGAGTAATTCGTGAGCCGGCTCCCCGCTGCAGCCCACTGCCCACCCTGGGCGGCTGGTGCAGAGCGTGCTGGGGAGGAGATGGGAGTGGGATGTGGGCTTGAAATTCCTCCTCATCCCACTAGAGGGGATCCTCCGGATCAGGCTGGTGGAGCCCAGCAGAAACATGAACATTAAACCCAGGCTCTAGCAGAGCTGCGCTGAGATGCAGCCTCTGGCTGGTGCGTCAGCCCCGGCTCCCGCAGGGGCTGCGAGTCTGACCCGGCGCTTTGCTGAACACAGCACTTTTTTTTTTTGGGGGGGGGGGGCGGGAGGATTTTGGTGCTCTCCAGAAATTCCCGGCCGAGGCAGGCTGGTCGTGGCTGCCTCTCCCTGCTCCTTGCCCAGGAGAGCGTGGCTGCCCAGTGTGGCTTGTGGCTCCTCTGCCTGCAGTGGCCTGAGCCCAGGCGCGGGGAGCTGCTGGGGTGGGGGCGAGGCGGCTCTAGCAGGACTTTACCAAGAAAAGCACAAGTTTAGCAAACACACGAGGTCAACAGTGATGGACCTAATCCGCTGCGTGCCCTCTGCTGCGTTTTGAGTCTGAACGATGATCCATCTTTGCATTTCGGGGGGCCTGAGCAATGCGGTCAGCCCGAGGCTGGCTGCTGCGGGGCAGGGGGCTGCCAGGGACAGGGTGCTGGGAAAGAGGTGCCCTCCCCTCTGTTATCGGATAGAGCCCATCTCATGTTTCTCACTGTAATCGCTGCTTCTGTTTGGGTGAAATCGAACTGGGAGGTGGTGATGGGGGGTGGGGGGGGAATGAAAAAGCGAGATAAATGTATCGTATTATGAAAATTTAATCCTGCTTTGCCTGGGCTAAAATTACATTCAGAGCAGGAGATAAAAGGCATCAGAGTCACATTATAA